AAATAAAAAAAAAAAAAAAAAGTGGGGCTCGTCTCTTCGGGGTGTTTTTCTCTCCCCCATCCGCTGTGCCCACTTGCTCGCGACTCCGGGACTCGCGCGGCGCCCAGGTTTGCAGAGAGGCTGCGGGACCCGCGGGCTCGCCCGGGCCTGCGCCGGGACTGGCTTCGCCACCTCCTCCAGCCTCCTCCCCTCCCTTCCCCGCCCTCCCGTACACTTGATCGCCGAGCCTTGGGCGGCGCAGCCGGGGCGTCCCCGCGCTCCCTCCCCCAGACCTGCGCGCTCCTGCGGCTCGGCCGGTCGCTAGTCCCGCTCGGTTCCACTGGACTCCCGCGGGCCAGTCGCTGGGCTTCGAGGAGAGCTTCGCGCTGCGGCCCCGGGCATCTCGCTTGGGTTCAGTTTTGTTTATTATTACTATTCTTTTCTCGAGAGTGCGCGCCTAGGCGGTGGTCCAGACCCGCCCGGGGAGGAAGATGTCAAACGTACGAGTGTCTAACGGGAGCCCCAGCCTGGAGAGGATGGACGCCAGACAAGCGGAGCACCCCAAGCCCTCCGCCTGCAGAAACCTCTTCGGCCCGGTTAATCACGAAGAGTTAACCCGGGACTTGGAGAAGCACTGCCGAGATATGGAAGAGGAGAGTCAGCGCAAGTGGAATTTCGATTTTCAGAATCACAAGCCCCTGGAGGGCAGATACGAGTGGCAGGAGGTGGAGAAGGGCAGCTTGCCGGAGTTCTACTACAGACCCCCGCGCCCCCCGAAGGGCGCCTGCAAGGTGCCGGCGCAGGAGAGCCTGGATGTCCACGGGAGCCGCCAGGCGCTGCCTTTAAACGGGTCTCAGGCAAACTCTGAGGACTCGCATTTGGTGGACCAAATGCCAGACCCATCCGACAGCCAGGCGGGGTTAGCTGAGCAGTGCGCAGGGATGAGAAAGCGACCTGCAACAGAAGGTAATGACCCTTGGAAAAAAGTAAAATGTCTGTGTGTCTGTCTGTGGCGCCGCTGTGCCTGCTAGAGCGTATTCAGCTTGTTTTTCCAGCGTGTTGTGGTTTAGATGGGGGGCGGGGGGTGAGCTTGTGTTAAGCTTAGTTTTGAAATGCTTCCTAGCTGACTGCTTGGTCTGTTTATGATTTTGAAGTCAGAAGCCGGAGATAGTAAGTTCTGGTAACTTCCCCAGCCTAACACATCTGGGTTCCTCCCCTCTCCAGCCAGCCATAGGTATGGGACAAAGTGGGGATGTTTACCAACTGCCTCCTTCTTGACCAGGGAGACAGAGAGTTGTGGGGCGTAGAATACAATTTCTGTTATATGAAAACAACCTCATTTTGTGTCTTTAGAGGCTACTGGGGATCGCGGGTCCAGGATTCGTGGGTGGAGGTGGTGGGCTTTTCATCCTTTGACTCCTGGACCAACGTCTGTTAGCCATTGTTCTCGATAATAAAGATGGTTTGTCTGTGTGTTCTTTTAAAAATTTACCCTTTCCCCTCTTTTAGATTCTTCTTCGCAAAACAAAAGGGCCAACAGAACTGAAGAAAATGTCTCAGACGGTTCCCCAAACGCTGGTTCTGTCGAGCAGACACCCTCTAAGAAGCCTGGTCTTCGAAGACGGCAAACGTAAACGACTCGGTGGGTTAATCTGGAGGAGCACAAAACCGATACCCCAGCTGGGCCGCGGTCCCCGGGAGGCCTGCAGACCCCTGGTTTTCTGGCAGGTTACTTACCAGGAGGAGTTGTTTTCCCATTGTCATTGCTAATTTTTTATTAGTAATGGGGAAAGATGGGAATTACTGTTGAGGAGACTGTAATTCTGCAAAGTACTTGTGTCCCAAGATGTTTTCTGTGAAGTGTAACCAGAATAAGTGTCCCAGGCAAGTACTTGTCACCAAGGCTCCAGAGTAGGAAAGTCAAGTCCTTAGGAATCCCACCAAAACTTAGGCTGGGAACAACAGAGTTCTTCCCTCATCAAATAAGGACCTGGGTACCCCCAGTCTCACTTCATGAGAATTCATTTCTATGGGTTCAATTTGAGTCCCTAACTTATTTTGAGCCTTATGTAGAAAAAGGCAAATACACAATTAAAAGAGAAAAGTTAGGTCTACATAGTTCATATTTGGTTAGACAGAGGGTTAGGAGTGTGAATAGGTGCTGCACTGCATTCTTTTTTATTTTAATAAACTGTCACTTTGCTTGTTGGTATATTTTGAAGAGAGAGAAGGGAACTTAGTATTTAAAAAGAAAAAAAAAAAAGCCAATGTGGAAAGCTCAGAAGTACTATAGTTCCTACAAAATTTCTGACTTTTAACCCTGAAGTTACAAAGCAGAAGTTAAATTAACAGCTAGAGTAAGTAGCCCAGGAACACGTCAGCCTGTGTATGCTAGCTGTGCCGAGAGAGGATGGTTTGGATATTTGAAGGAGAAATGGATGTTAGGACAAGCCCTGGTAGGTCCAGCACAAGTGGAGATTTATCCACCAACCAAAATTTCATCACTGGGAATAGCTCATTAGAGTAGTCCAGCCCCTAAATTTACATAGGTTGACTATTCATAACGATCTGACTACATAGATTAGTAGTTTATAAGGTCCTTATAAACAAAGTCTGAGCCCATTTCCAAAGTCCACTCAATAGCCGAGCATATAAAGAGATCTTAACAGTTAATGTTAGCTTTTCAGATCCTCAAATTAAATTAAGGAGCATAGGGTTAAAATAGGATTCAGGTTTGTTGTGTTTTTAAATCATGTCATAATACGGCTTCATAGAGACCTGGCATTTTTCAGAGCTAATAGAAAACAATACTTTAGAACTTTCACATTCTACCCTCTGTAAAATGGGAACATTGGATGAAAGTCCCTCCTGAACAACCATCACACCTGTACCTTTTGCTGGTTTGTGTGGCTTGTGGCCTAGCTTCTCAGATGCACCTCCCGGATTTTAACCTGGCCCCACTCTAACAAAGGCCTGTTTGTTAGTCATGTTACCAGCTCAGAGACTACTGAGAAATAGTGAGGATCTAGTCAAAAGTACTCATGCATATTTCTTTATATTAATAAGAAATTAGAATTTAAAAAATATTAATATAAGTTTTCTCTGGCAGTCTTTTAAAATTATATTTCCTTTAAACATTATATTTCTAAGCATTTTTTCAAGTTTAGGAAATTATGCTATTCTGGTGTTAATGGTTCCTGAATTTCTTTTTTCTCTCACTCTCTTTAACCCAGATTCTTTTTTTTTAACCCAGATTCTTTAGCGTTTCTCAACCTCTGCACCGTTGACATTTTGGGCCAAATTATTCTTCCTTGTGGGAGGCTGTCCTGTGCATTTTAGTGTTTGGCATTATTCCTGTTCTCTCCCACAAGATGCCAGTAGTAGTCTTCCTCCTCCACTTGTGACAACTAAAAATGTCTCTAGACATTTCTAAATATCCCCTGGGACACGGGAGGTCTGGGCAAAATTGCCCACTTGCTAAGTGCCCCAACCTTAACACCACACAGAGCTGAGAAGAAAATCCATTTAATATTACGTAGAGATGACTGTAGTTATCAAACTTTTCCTACAGATATTTATCCCCTCATCATGCAGGGATTTCTTAGTGACAAAATAATTCATGTACTTTATTGGCAATGTTACTTTAGTGTCTTCTCCCTAATTCATTCTTGTTTCTTTTGCAGAATTAAGAATGTTTCCTTGTTTATTAGATGCATCACTGCTTGATGAAGCAAGGAAGATATACAGGAAAAAAAATTTAAATACATATGGCTGACTCCATGGAATGGACATCTTGTATAAGCACTGAAAAGCAACAACATAATAACACTAAAAATTTTAGGCACTCTTAAACGATCTGCCTCTAAAAGCATTGGATGTAGCATTGCGCAATTAGGTCTTTCCTTATTTGCTTCACTGTACTACCTGTGTATATAGTTTTTACCTTTTATGTAGCACATAAACATCGGGGAAGGGAGGGCAGGGTGGGGCTGAGGAATTGGCATGGGTAGGGGGGAGGATTGAAGAATTTGCTTCAGTTACTAGCAAGGAGAAAAATATTTGACTTGCATGAAGAGAAGCAATTTTGGGAAGGGTTTGAATTGTATTCTTTAAAGGTATAATGTCTCTTTCAATGAGAACTGATACTTTATTTTTAAAATAATCAAAATTTCAATACTGGCTACAAATAGTTACTATTTATCTTTACATGAAGCTTAATCTCATTTGGGAGTTCTGACCATTCCGTTATGTAGCAACAAATGTCTTTAAAAAAACACACACACACACAAATGATCCTTTTTTCTCCCTCAAAATTGGAATTTACCAGTTAATTATTGAGCAGTTTGATAATCATTCCAGGTAATACTGGGCAAAAATCTGGGGTACCTGATGGCAAGTTCTAGACACTCAGAACGGATCATCAAACGTGAGTTCTGACCATTCCGTTATGTAGCAACAAATGTCTTTAAAAAAACACACACACACACAAATGATCCTTTTTTCTCCCTCAAAATTGGAATTTACCAGTTAATTATTGAGCAGTTTGATAATCATTCCAGGTAATACTGGGCAAAAATCTGGGGTACCTGATGGCAAGTTCTAGACACTCAGAACGGATCATCAAACGTGAAATTTGTTTAGAAAATTATCTTTTTTTTTTTTACTTAAACTCTGTAGACAGTCAAAATTATTTAAAAATCCCTGGATATTTCTAAAGTAAGTAACTTTACACAAATAATGAAATAATTTTTTTTAATTCAAAGCTTCTCATTCTACTTGTTAATTTGCCCGAAGGAAAGTGCTGTTTTTAAAGGAAGGTGCATGTAGAAAAAGCACACTTGTAAAGTGAAGTGGATACTATATCTTTAAACAGTATCTTCATTGCCTGTGTATGAAACAACAGTGAAGTGTACCTGTGTACATAACTCTGTAAAGACACTGAAAATTATACTAACTTATTTATGTTAAAAAAAGAGATTTTTTTTTTAATCTAGGCAATATACAAGCCAAAATGGCATGTTTTTGTGCACTTGTAAATGCTGTATTGGGTAGAATAGGTTTCCCCCCTCTTTTGTTAAATAATATGGCTATGCTTAAAAGGTTGCATACTGAGCCAAGTATAATTTTTTGTAATGTGTGAAAAAGATGCCAATTATTGTTATCCATCAAGCAATCAATAAAGAAAACTTCCATAGCTATTTACTGAGTGGAACTGTAATGTGCTTTACTGTTTGAGGTATTGGGCCTGGCATGCTAGTCACAGTCACACAAAAACAGCATGAAGTGACAAATATCTAGAAAATTCAGGCCTACAGCTCAGATGAGTTTTGTGTGTGTGTGTGTGTGTGTGTGTGCTGAATGTAGTTAGTGGTCATTTTCCACTTAGTTCTGTGTGGGTGGACAATTCTGTAGGAAGTGGAAAAGCCACATTTTCATATAAGTAATACTGTCAGAGTCTCCATGAGTTAGTTCTTATGCCTTCTAGGATGTGAATGTGAACCCAAAAGACAAACAAAAACTTAAAAAAAAAAAAAAAAAAGACTTACATAAGTATAGTCTGATCACACAGATCTGCAGGACTGAAAATGAAAGTAATTCAAAGACTTCTGTAAATTTTGTATTTACACTTTTGAAGTGGTATGAAGAACAGAAAGCAATTATCTAGGCCATCTATCTATTAATTGTGTCCAAAATACCCAAACATACAGGTCCTTAAGAAATCGGTGTTTATTCCACACCAGGCATTTGTCATGTGAGACTGATGATCATACACAAATT